GGTTGAGAACTGCTAGCAGGGTCACCTAAGACCAACGGAAAACACAGATATTTACATTACAATTCATAACAGTAGCAAAATTACAGTTATGAAGTAGCAACGAAAATAATTTAAAAAATATATATATATATTATTGATTTTTACAGAGAGGAAGGGAGAGAGAGATAAAGAGTTAGAAACATCGATGAGAGAGAGTCATCGATCAGCTGCCTCTTGCACACCCCCTACTGGGGATGTGCCCGCAACCAAGGTACATGCCCTTGACCAGAATTGAACCTGGGACCTTTCAGTCTCCAAGCCGATGCTTTATCCATTGAGCCAAACCAGTTTTGGCGCAACGAAAATAATTTTATGGTTGGGGGTCACCACAACATGAAGAACTGTGTTAAAGGGTTGCAGTATTAGAAAGGTTGAAAACCACTGCTCTAAAGCCGCACAGGCTAGTATTTAGCCAAAGAACTAAAACAACACTTTGGTGACTTCTGGAAGCCCATGTCTACAAAGCTCCCTTTTCTCCAGTATCATGATTGCTACATTCAATCCTGAAATCTGATTCTTGCCCCCCCCCCCCCAAGCTCAGCTATATTACTATCCTCTGTCTAGGCTCCACCTCCCTATGAAGGGGTTCTGAAGTTGACTCAGGCAGAAAAAGGTACCAGTCAGGTTCACTGCATGCTTCCCTTCTCTCAGCCAACACACTCATCCAGTGGAGCATAGGATATCTGGGAGCCTTCATAAATGTATGACTCTAGTTTTGGTCTCATGGCCAAAAAACAATTTATTTTAAAATATATTTTATTGATTTTTTACAGAAAGGAAGGGAAAGGGATAGTTAGAAACATTGATCAGCTGCCTCCTGCACACTCCCTACTGGGTATGTGCCTGCAACCAAGGTACATGCCCTTGACCGGAATTGAACCTGGGACCCTTGAGTCAGCAGGCCGACGTTCTAGCCACTGAGCCAAACTGGTTAGTGCAAGAACCATGTCTTATTACTGGTGATGTTAACATTCATCTCTTGGTTAATGTTGTCTGCCAGATTTCTCCATTGTGAAGTTACTATTGCCCTTCCCATGCTCTTGTTATTAGAAGCAAGTCACTGAATCCAGCTCATAATCAAGAGGAAAAGAGGGGCGTAGCCAGCGTGGCTCAGTGGTTGACCATCAACTTAAGAACCAGGAGGTCATGGTTCGATTCTTGGTCAGGGCACATGCCAAGGTTGCAGGCTCCATCCCCAGTGAGGGGTGTGCAAGAGGCAGCCAATTGATGATTCTCTCTCATCACTTATGTGTGTGTTTCTCTCTCTCCTTTTCTCTCTGAAATCAATAAAAACATTTTTAAAAAAATAAATAAGAGAATGAGAATTAAGCCCAACTCTTAGAGGGAAGAGAATTAGACAAAAGAATACTTTGTTTTATTGTACTTCACTTTATTGCATTTTTTAAAAAATATATTCAAAGCAAGACCCTCCCCAGCAAAAATATTATGACTCTTTATTGCAGTGGTCTGGAACCAACTCTGTAATATCTCTGAGTTATGCCTGTATTTAATAAATATTTTAGAGACACTACTTTAAGGCTGTGCAACTAGTGTGTTCACCTTAAAGTGTTATCCACAATTTTTAGCATTTGGTGGATTAGATTTGCAACAATTATTACTGTGGTATTCTAATGGCCATTTTCTATTTCCCTCATTCATTCCTTCTATATTTATCATTTGGAAGTCTTACATAAGAAATTGTCTCTTCTCCAACATTTACTTATTCAATCCTATCCCTTGTTTATACATCATGAAATCATGAATATTTATTTTCTTTTTTTTTTTTTTGGACTATAATCCAATACTATCATTTTTGTTGTTGCTCAAATTGTTCTAGCTTTGGCCACTGGGAGCTCTTTCAAGTTGGCTCCTGTAGCCTTATGAATGACATGCTCCCATCTTTTTGTGTGTGTGTGTACTTTCTTACTTTCTGGCACTACACAATGTTCCAGGCTCATATTATATTTTCCTACACTGGCCTTAAAATCAGCCATTTCTCCAAGAAGCCCCAATTTCTTTTATTAGGTAATAGCATTTAGAAACCAAGATCTGGGTACTTAGATGTGCTCGTTGCTTCTGTGTTCACACAATGTCTAGGCTGTCTCAATGGACAGACTAGAACTGTCTGAGACCAAGAAGGTATGACAGCTAAATGCAATATGGTATTCGTGGTAGGGGGCTTCTAAGATGAGTTCTCAATGACCCCTGACTAATATTCATAGTCTTCTGTAATCTCCTCCCCTTGAGTAATTTGATTCTAACCAACAGAATGCTTGGGCATCAAGGGATGTCACTTCCATGATTAGATTACATGAGATTGTACCTTGTTTTGATCACTCTCTTACTCACTGGCTTTGATGAAGCAAACTGCCATGCTGCAAGCTGCTGGCTCTTAGAATGAAAAACACACGTGGCAATGACTGAGGGTACCTCAGGATGACAGCCAGCAAGGTACTGAGGCTCACAGTCCAACAGACTGGAGATAACGGAATCCTGCCATAAACCGTGGTAGCTCAGAAAAGATCCTTCCCCAGTCCCACGTTCAGATGAGTCCTTAATCCTACCCAACATCTTCCTTGATTGCACCTTGGTCAGAGCCACTTGAGTAAAGGATAGAGCTAAGCCAGTCTGGATTTCTGATCCACAAAAACGGAGTTAATGAATGCATGTTCTTTAGCCACTAATATTGTGATAATCTATTCCACAGAAAGAGATCACAAATAGAGTATCCTAACTTGGATCCTAAAACAGAAAAAATACATTTGTGGGGGAAAAACAGTAACATCCAAATAGTCTTAAATTGAGTTTCTAGTACTGTGCCAATGTTATTTCCTTCGCATCAATAAATGCTCCATGTTTATGTAAGATGCTAACATTAGGGGGAGCTGAATGAAGGATATGGAAACTCCCTCTAATGTCTTTGCAACTCTTCTATAAATCTAAAATTATTTCAGAATATAAACTTTAAAAATAACACTTCTGGGCATTATGTCATTGTTATAAAGCGAATATATCCCTGGCCAGTGTGGCTCAATTGGTTGGGCATCGTGCCTGGCACTGGGAGGCTGCTGGTTCCATTCCAGGTCAAGGGCACATGGGCTCAATCCCCGTAGAGGGTGTGCAGGACGCAGTAGGTAAATATTGTACACTAACATCAATGTTACTCTCTCTCTCTCTCTCTCTCTAAAAATCAACAAACTTCTTTAAAAAGATAAAATAAATAGAGCAAATTTAAGGAGAAAAAGTAAAGAAAAGATATCGGAGTCACCAGCCTGGTAGTAGATTTAACAACCAGGCATTAGGAGTCACAGTGTGATGACAGGCTAGAAAGTAGTATGCTCAGTCTTCTGGGGAAGACAAAGGACCAGATTGGGTGCCGGCAATCAGGGATTCTCTGCTGGGGGAGACACCGTACCTAATGCCTGTCCTGGGAGTCAGAGACTGGTTGAGGAATCCCAGGAATATTTTTTCTTAGCCTTCAAGATGTGTCGGTTCACCTCTTTTTATAAAATACCCCCAAAATGTCAACATCTGTTCCAAAATGGAATTTCTTGCCTGCTCCTGATTTCTATGCCTTGTCTTTGCCCTTTACCCCATCTGGAATGCCTCTGCTCTCTTCCATCAGATATCTTCACACCTCCTTATCAGTTTCAAAAGTCAACTTAGGAGAAAATCTTTGCCTCCTCTGCCCTCAGTGACATTTTTCAAACCAGAGCCCACACTCACTTGACTGTTTTCTTCATCCATTTACCAGTGGCATATCTTCAGATAGTTACTTAAATTCTATTCTTTCGTGTTTTTAAACATGAATGGAAATCAGGGGGGTAGGTAAAAAAAAAGGTAAATAAGAATCATCACTTTTATACCCAGTCAGTGTGGCTCAGTGGTTGAAGGGACAACCTATGAATCAGGGGGTCAGGTTCGATTCCTGTTCAGGGCACATGCCTGGATTTTGGGATCGATCCCCAGTGCAGGACGTCCAAGAGGCAAGTGACCAATGATTCTCTCTCATCACTGATGTTTCTTTTTTTGGGGTATATTTTATTGATCTTTTTACAGAGAGGAAGGAAGAGGGATAGAGAACTAGAAACATCGATTAGAAAGAAACACCGATCAGCTGCCTCCTGCACATTTCCCACTGGGGATGTGCCCACAACCAAAGTACGTGCCCTTGACCAGAATCGAACCTGGGACCCTTGAGTCAGCAGGCCGACCCTCTATCCACTGAGTCTTACCTCTCTCTTCCTCTCTGAAGTCAATGTATATAAAGAATCAGCACTTTCATCCAACTGGCGTGGCTTAGTGGTTGGGTATCGACCTATGAACCAGGAGGTCATTGGTTTGATTTCTGGTCAGGACACATACCTGGGTTGCAGGCTTGATCCCCAATGTGGGATGTGCAGGAGGCAGTCAACCAATGATTCGCTCTCATCACTAATGTTTCTCTCTCTCTCCCCCTCTGAAATCAATAAAAATGTATTTTAAAAAAGGAATCAGCACTTTCTTGAATATTCCTTAGAATAAATTAGGTGAAGCTCTTGATAACAGTAAGGAGTGTTTGACAGGTAGCTGTGGATTGATTGCTTTTGTTTGCAGGTTGCTTTCCTCCAGCCCTTATTTCTAGTTAAATTCTTTCATCTGCTTCTCTTATTTTTTTAAAAAAAATATATTTTATTGATTTTGTACAAAGAGGGAGAGAGACAGAGTTAGAAACATCAATGAGAGTCATCAATCAGTTGCCTCTTGCATACCCCCCACTGGGGATCTGCCCGCAACCAAGGTACATGCCCTTGACTGGAATCGAACCCGGGACCTTTCAGTCCCCAAGCTGACGCTCTATCCATTGAGCCAAACCGGTTTCGGCCCATCTGCTTCTCTTAAATCTATTTCTTCCAAGAACCTTCCTCCTGGCCTGCATGAGCCATGCTCACTGCACAGACAAAAGCAAGGACAGGAGACTCTTTGCCAAAGTTAAAAGCGCATCAAACACGCCTAGCATTTATTAATCACAAACCTACAGACCCCTCAGTACACCATCCTTGAGACTTGGCCCCAATAATCCAAAGCTGACAATCTTGAATAGACATTACAGGAGGGGTGAGGATGGGTGGGGAGTGTCTGTTGATAGCTCTGAAATGGGGAAGGGTCCTCCAAACGGAGAACTGGGTAGAGGCCAGAGGTTGGGGTGATCAACTTCTGAGTAGGGGTGGCGATCAGTAAAAAATCAGATAAACAAAAGAAGGGTACAGGATTTAACAGCCCCTCCCCCAACCTCCACCTGGGCGGGAGATGCTTCTTTTTCTTGGCCTGGAGAGACCCCCGGAAGGACCCCTTCCTTCATCCTGCTCCTCTATGCAGCAAAAATAAGTCATGGGTGCTGGTTCTGGGACTTGGACTCAGTATCCCCTACTCCCCATCACCTCCCCAATCTGCCCTTCAAGGAAGGAGGCAGGAGTCTGCCCGAGGGTAGGGGGTCTAACTCTCACTTCTGATCTAGGTCTGGAATGTCAACCCATGAGATTTCAAAATCGATCCCCTTTCCCAAGGGCAAGGTCGGCTCAGAGCTGTTCTCTCAGGTTAAGGCAGGGGCTTAAGCGCCCTCCTCCCTGCAGTGGAATGCTTGGCGGGGATGCTGCTAGGAATAAGGGCTGTGACCTCCACGTGGTGTGGCGGCCTGGTCTGCGGACTTCTCCATACCAGAAATACTGGCGCTGGGCCGCTCCTATAGGGAAGGGGCATAGACTGGCTCTTCCACTGCTGGGCCATGACCCGAGTTCCCAGGTAAAGGGTTCGGCTCTCATCCTCATTCTGCTCCTGGCCTCGGCAGGGCAGGGATCACGGTGAAAGGGGAGGGCTTAAGCCCCAGGGTGGGAACTCCATCATTTGAACTCCTCTTCCCTGCCAGGATGGAGTAGACTGGCCACTACAAGACGGGGGCTGGAACGGATCCTGACATACCCTTATCCCCGGACTGGCTAGGACAGTCCCAGAGGACAGGGACAGACCTCATCCTGTCTTCTTCCCTCACCTGGGCGAGGGCGGATCCCACTGGGCAAAGGAGATGCTGTGATCTCCCGGAGACAGGCCCGGATGCCATGGCGCTGGCTGGGCCTGTGGGAAAGGGGTGGGGTCCCATCTCTTCCCCGGAACACCTGGGCAGGGCAGTCTCATGGGAGGGGGAGGGAAAGGCAGGGCCTCCTCTCGGCTTGCCCTCCTTTTCTGGGTGGGGAAACCCCAGAGGAGGGGTGAAGCCTGATCAGGACTCCTCCTCCATGCTGAAGCTGCTTCGGCGACTGCTGGCCTTGGAGACAGTGGGGGACACGGAAGAGAGCAGGGGGTCAGAGGCAGCCCGCAATGGGGACAGGGCGCCCCCCGACAGTCCCCCCAACACCCCTTCCTCCTCCTCCATCAGAATGTCCGTCAGCCCCAGGTGGAAGGGGTCTCCCAGGTCCCCCAGGTGGTCGCTGGGAAAGTGCAGGTCCAGAAGGGTGTCTGAGGGTGGCACTGGGGGCTGCTGATGGGGAGCACCCTGGGCAGGGCCCGCCCCTGCGTGGAACGTTGCTACGCCCGGCCTGCCCTCCTCCTCAACATCCAGCTGCTCTGGCTTGAGGCTGTCAGAGGCTGAAGTCGTGGCCAGGGAGACGAGCCCCGGGGTGGGAGGGACCGGCAGACCATGGATCTGGGCCTGCAGTTCGAGCTCCTGCAAAAAGGAGGGGGGAGATGTGGGATAAGATGGAGATCAGAGCCCCTCAGAGGCAGAGGATGTCACAGATAGGAGGGTGGGTTGTCTGGGCTCCCATTCAACCTCTACCGCTCACTAGTTACGTAACTTTAGGCAAGCTGCCTCAAATTTGAGCTTCAGCGTCCCAATCTGTAAAATGGGTATAACACTGGTCCCTGCCTCACTGGGCTCTTGTGACGATTCCCTTAGTAAATGGACATAAGGCTCTTGTCAAAGTGCATGGCACAAGATAAACACAATGCACACTAGCCAATATCCATCAGCATTCTTTTTAAAGTTATAATTACTACTTATCACCACCACCATCATCATCATCATCATCATCATCATCATCATCATCATCATCATGGGAGTCGGGAAGCCCTGGGATCTCCCGAGTATTCCCGGAGGGGAAATTGTGGCCTGTTCTTCCTCTGCCTCTGCCTGCAGGAAGGCCCCCCCCCCCCCCCGGCCACCACCTCCTCCCCTCCCAGACCTGGATTCGGAGCTGCAGGCTGCGGTTGGCTTGCTCCAGGGACCGCTGGCGGCTCTCCAGGTCCTTGGAGCGCTGCTGCTCCTTCTGCAACTTGCGGATGTAATCCACAGAGGCTTTGAGGATGGTACCCTTGTTCCAGCGCATCTCCCTGTGCGGCCGAGGGGAAGGAGAGGAGGGAGAGCAGTGCGTGGAGTCTCTGGGATCTTGGGTTGGTGCACCAGGTAGATGGAGCACCCCACCCCAGGCCTAGGACTAGAGGTGGGGGTACTGCAAGGGTATAAGATGTTCATCCCCTGCCTGGAACCTTCCAAGCCCTTTCCTGCTCCTCTCGCCTCTGACCTGGATGCATCTCACTACAGCTGCTCTGGCTTCTCAGCGCTCCCAGGACATGGGGACCCATTCCCACCGCAGGGCTATCAGCCCAGCTCTGCCCTCCTCCTGGACCACTCTTCCCCCGGGCACTCCTGCCTCTCCTCCTGTAGCTGCTTATTCACATGGCTCTTGTTCATGGAGGCCTATTCTGTCTCCTCGGTCCTCACGCCAAATTGTAACCATCCCCCCAAACTCCCTCATCTTCCTCCCATTCTTTATTCTTCTCCACAACATTCATCAGAATTGCAAGGACTTTGCTTATTTATCTTGCTTGCTGTCTGGCTGCCCCCGCTAAATGACCAGTTCTGTGAGGTCAGGGATTGTTGGCTGTTTCATTCCCTGTGGCCACCCCAGGGCCTAGCTCGGTACCTGGTCCAAAGCAGAAGCTCAATATTTTCTGAATAAAGACAGGAAGCACGAACTAGACAGGAAACTAAGTACCTCTGTCCCGCAGGGGCCTGATGAGGCGTACAGACCCTAAGATCATGCACCTCAACTTGTAGGTGGAGCCATGGTGAGGAGCTGGCTCGGGGTGAAGAAATGAGGGGGAAGGGGCCAGAGGAGCAGAGCTGCTGGGCGGTTCCCACCCCGGGAGGCCCCCTTGGGAATGGCTTTAGGAGAGCAGGGTCCCCCGCCCCATCTTCTTAGCGCCTGGAGCTCCCAGCCCAGACTCACGGGTCACTGGACTTGGGGATGAGGGTGCCCAGCTCCTTGATCCTGTCGTTAATGTTGAAGCGCCTGCGACGTTCAACTTTGGAGGAGGGGGAAACAGAAGTGGGAGAGAGTCATCAATAGAGGAGGGAAGAGGAGACATTGGGGCGTTGGGACCCCCCAAGGCAGGCCGGGGCACAGAGCGGGACGGGGCTGCCTAGCACAGTGGCAAGGGCATACGCTCTCACTCACTCAGGTTGTGATTGTCCTTCTTCTGCCGCTCCTTCAGAAGGGCCTTGGCCTCCGTCTCTGGAAGAGAGTGGAGGTGGTCAGGGCCCCTGGGCACGGGAAAGGAGGAGCGCAGTATGTGTTGCTGAGGGGGGCTTTGGCGGGTACATGCAGGGGAAACGACCTTTTTAAAAATGCAACTCTGGCCCTAGCCGGTGTGGCTCAGTGGATAGAGCGTCAGCCTGCGGATTGAAGGGTTCCCAGGTTTGATTCCGGTCAAGGGCATATGCCCAGGTTGCGGGCTCAATCCCCAGTGGGGAGCTTGCAGGAGGCAGCCGATCAATGATTCCCTCTCAGCATTGATGTTTCTATCTCTCCCTCTCAGAAATCAGTAAAAATAGATTTTTAAGAAAATGCCACTCTTGCCGAAGCCGGTTTGGCTCAGTGGATAGAGCATCGGTCTGTGGACTGAAGGGTCCCAGGTTCGATTCCGGTCAAGGGCATGCACCTTGGTTGCGGGCACATCCCCGGTGGGGGGTGTGCAAGAGGCAGCTGGTCGATGTTTCTCTCTCATCAACGTTTCTAGCTCTCTATCTCTCTCCCTTCCCCTATGTGAAAAATCAATAAAATATATTAAAAAAGAAAAAAAAGAAAAAAAAGAAAATGCCACTCTTGCCCTAGCCAGTGTACTCAGTGCTCACAGCATCGGCCTAAGGGGCGTGGGTTTGATTCCCTGTTAAGGGCAAGTGCCTGGATTGCAGGTTTGATCCCCGGCCCCAGTCAGAGTGCATGCAGGAGGCAACCAACGAATGTCTCTTTCACATCAATGTTTCTCTCTGTTTCTATCTCTTCCTCCCTTCCACACACTGTCTCTAAAAGTCAATGGGAAAAAATATCCCCAGGTGAGAATTAACAAAACATGCCATTCTTCTTGCTATTTTTTCAAGAAGCCATGGTGATGGGCCATTGGTTAAACCCAAGATGAGAGGCAGTGGGATGAGAGTAGCCCCATGGGCCACGTGGGAAAAGAGGGCAATGAGTTCCCATTTCTCTCTGCTTAACCCCTTCCCGCCAGAACCAGACCCACCCCACCCCTGGCCCTTACCGGAGATCTCCCGTTTGATGTTGGGCAGCTCCGCTGGGCAGGAGTTGCTGACAGTGATGGCGGGTGCCGCTACACCCTGACTACTGTACACATCCAGCAGGTTCCCTGACACAGGCAGCTGCGGGCGGGCATGGTAGAAGAAGGGTAATTGGCAACAGACCCCAGGCTTGGTACCATCCTAGGACCAGGCTCCTGACCCCTCCACACATCCCAAATACACGCCCCTTAGTGCAAGGATTGGCTGACTCAGTACAGGAATCTTCTCTTTCAAGGGAATTTCACATGGTGACTCAATAAGGCTGGCGTGGTTCAGTGGTTGAGCGTCAGTCAACCTTGAACCAGGAGGTCACCATTCAATTTCCATTCATGCCTGGGTTGTGGGCTCCATTCCCAGGAGGCAGCAAATCGATGATTCTCTCTCATCACCGATGTTTCTATATCTTCTCTCCCCCTTTTCCTCTCTGAAATCAATAGAAATATTTTTTAAAAAAAGTATGAATATTAAAAAAAAGAAGGGAGGACAGCATCAAATGGACCTACCCTGCTTTGCCAGGGACAAGAGCCTGCCTGGCCTGTTCAGCATGCCCCCTGTGACCCCTCAAATCAATCCTCCGTGAGCTCTGAAGCCCTTCCCCCGAACCCTGGGGCTGGCTCTCAGAGAAGAAATGCCACAAAGCCACCCTTACGTCGTTGTGGACTCTGATCGAACATGTCAGTCCATCAGCGCCCCCAACCTCTCCCCGTCCCAGCACGATATCCCAATCCGGTATTCTTAGAACACTCCAACCCAATCTTCTCAGACCTTGGGAAATTGTCATGGCAACGGGCCACCCCAAATCAGGCCTTCCAGAGTCCCTGCCCAATCTCCGGGCTTTTGCTGTGACTGCGTCGCACCACCTTACATGCATAGTCTCCAGCTGCCATGCACCAGCCAACGCTCCGACTCGAGTACCTTGCATGTTCTGACCTCTCAGGATTTCCTGTCCAACTTCACAACTAGCACTGCTGTCAAGTCCGCCTCCGTAGTTTCCTCCCCTTTGCCCTCCCCTGCATACTCCCTGGGGCAACATCCTAATCTGTAAGTCATTAGTCCCATCTCTCGATAGCGTTTCATCTCTTGAAACCCTCACCAATCTGCTGGATTCATCTAATATGCGACTAATCTCTAGCCGAGTCCAAATCAACACAGAGTTCTAATGAACTGGTATAATTCTTATGCATGCTTCTACCCTCTTGGTAAGTTGGAAAGAAACAAAACAATAGCCGCTTGGTATGCCCTGAAACAAGTTATAGGACCCTGGAATGTTTGAGAAGCATAATGTTACAATATTTTGGTATATTTGTTGCTTTAAGTTTATCCACTCTGCGAGGCCCCAGCCTCTCCCCACGGTTCAAGGTCCAACCATGCCGCGTTTTGAGACTTTTGCTGTGTTTCAGTCTCTCGGTACATTCAAAAGGCTAAAAGACCCTCCCCCACCCCATCTTGCCCTGGCTGGTATGGCTCAGCTGTTAGGGGGTCCGCACACTGAAGGATCACGGATTAGATTCCTAGTCAAGGGCATGAACCTAGGCTGCGGGTTCCATCCTCAGCCTGGTTGGGGTGTGTGCGGGAGGCAACCAGTTGATTTTTCTCTCTCCTCCTCCCTCCCTACCTCCCTCCTTTCCTCCATCCCATCTCTCTGAAAAGCAATGAAAAAATATCCGCAAGTGAGGATTAAAAAAAAGTAATAAATAGCCGAAACTGGTTTGGCTCAGTGGATAGAGCGTTGGTCTGTGGACTGAGGGGTCCCAGGTTCGATTCCGGTCAAGGGCATGTACAAAAAGAAAATCTACAAGGTCTACCTTTCCATGCAATCCAACTAAAGGTTTCAGGGCATTGCTATGCCCCATTATCATTACTTAGTCTCCTTCTCTATCTTAATACAATCCAAGGTGACGGTCATGGTCTCTTATACACATAGCCAATCCTGAGGTAGTCAGTGACACAGGGATGCACTAGGTTGTTAAACCAACTTCCCATCTTGGGGGGGGGGGGGGGCTTACCGTGCTGGGGAGCTGGAGCCCCGCAGTGCCTCCAGGTAGATAGCTGAGCATCTCGTCGTTGTAACTGGACTCCAGGCTGATGATCTCATCAATGACATCATCAATCTGGGGACAGAAGTACATACGGAGGAGGGTCAGCTGAAGACGGAGGGTGGAGCATCGGAGGGCCGTCCGCAGCCACGTACCTCCTTCTCTGAGCTGGACCCGATGGTGAGCAGTGCCATGGGGCTGTTGGGGGCGCTGCCTGTAGGGCCGGTAGCATGGGCGGCCTCAGGGGCCGGGAGCGGCTGGGCACTCGCAGCCCCCGGGGGTGGGGTGAGGGCCTGGGAAGCCAGCTTGGGCCCGAGTGTGGTGGACAGGTACTGTTTGACCTGCTGCCGGCGGGCCTGCTGCAGGTGGTAGCGTGTCGGGTTCTCTAGATGTGTCTGCACCTGTGGGAGGAGAGGAAGGAGGGACAGGAAAGGACAAGGTAGAACAGGGCTCAGAGAGGTGCCGGTGGGCAAACCAAGCCCAGAATCTGAGGAAACCGCCCCCCAAATACTGGTAAGTCTCTCCCGGCACCCAAATTCCCTTTCTTGGACACCCCTCACAGCCCCTAGGGTCCATCCACGGATGGTCGAACCCCTTGGTCTCTGGAGCCCCCTCTGTCACAGTCCCCAAGACTCCACCCTTGTCTCTGATACCCAGGATCTACATATTGCTTCCCAAGACATCCAAAAGCTACAGAACTAATGCAACATATATATATGCAGCTCTTCCTCCAAAGCCACTCATGGACCCTAGGGCCCACTTGGGGGGCTCGCTACCCTCCATGGCCCACCAAGACATCCATGGCCCCCAAGAGCCCCTCACAATTCCACGAGAAAATCTGAGCACCCCTAAACACAATAGGACACCAGCAAAGGCTACTTTCACAGCACCCAGAGACCGTCCTTAGGGCTCCGGGAGCCCAGCTAAAAGTCACCCGGCCCCTCCCCCAGGGACTCCGGGCCTTACCTTGAGCACCTCCCGGGGCACCTGAGCAGGGGGAGGACGGCCCAACGTGTGGCCCCCGGCAGAGACACCGACCACAGAGATGGCAGGAGAGGCAGGTGCAGGGCTGGGGAAGGGAGAGGCTGCAGCCTGTTCCCGACGCTCACGCCTCTCCTGCTCCTGGGCTTGGGCCCGCATGAGCTGCTGCCGCAGCAGGACCCGCGATGAAGAAGAAGAGGACATGGCAGGGGTCCTGGAGCCCCCTGCAGAAGATGATGCAGACAGTGTAGCTGGGGTGGCTGGTGTGGCCTGCAGTGATATTGGGAGGCTGTGGAATGGGAGATACGGGGCCACAAGTAAGCTAAAAGTCTCGTCCCGAGCCTAACGGGACAGAGTAAGCGCAGGAGCCAGGCCTGGTAGCCCTCAGGGGTCGGTCTGGTGGTGGTGGGGGGTTTGCCTTCATTCCTTACAGGGAAGTCTCAAGTTGGGTGTGTTCCTTTCCTGAGCAGAGATGCCACTGTGTGGCTGGGCAAGGGGCTTTGTCCTCTTTAAGGGAGGCTGTGGCGGTGGAAGCAGAGGGCTCTGGAGCTCAATTTGGGGCTGGAGATGCCCCCTTACCTCCCGGGGGTGGGCATCGGGCCACAGGACAATCGCAGTACCTCCTTCCTCCCTTGCCTGGGCCTCTAGTCCCAGGAGCTCCTCAGTCTTGAAAATCTCAGAAATTTCACAATCCTCTCTTCCTGCCCCTCTTCCAGGTCCCCTCCCCTCGCTTAGAGCCCAAGCCCATGACTCAGCACATTTAGACTTCCCCAGCTTGGGGAAAGAAGAGAGCAGCAGGGGTTCCTCAGGGCTGGGGGAGGGGGAGCTTGGTGAGTGGGGGAGGGGTGAGCCGGGGTTGTGGGCACGGCTCGGCCTATCTGGGCACTGAGCTAGAGCAAGCCACACCCAGTCTCTGGGCACTGAGCGATGCTGCAGCCATGTTTGTGAATGAATGGGCACACAGGTGGGGTTGGGGAAGGCAGCTGAGGTCTAGTCCGAGATGCTAGAATCCTAGTGTGGCCACCTGCTTTCCCATAACAAGCTTCTCCTGGCCCCTTATTTTACTGACTGGCAAATACAAACTGGTGGGGAGAGAGAACGGGCTGGGCTCGCCCCGAGGGCCACTGCCCAGCAAGGGGGAACGGAGAGCCCTTGAGGAATCGGGAGAGGCGTCGGAGGAGACATTACCTTGAGTGTAGTGACAGGGGCTGGCTTTTGAGCTCGTAAAAGCTGTCCGGATCAAGGACGTTTTCTAATTCGATGTCAGCAACAATCCCGGATTCAGGAAGCAGAGAGTTCAGGCTGAGAGTGAGGGTGAGGTAGGGGTGGTGGTCAGTTATTGTATGGAGACCTCAATCTCCTCCAAGAAAGAGAAAGAGAGGCGGGGGGAGAGAGATAAGAAGGAAAACAGTGTATCTCTAACGTTCCGCCACTGCGCTGGGCAGCAGTTCCCACGCCCTCTCCTCCTCCCCATTATCTCTTGATGCTGTTACCCACAGTCCCTTCAGACTGTGCTCCAACGCTCACAACCTGGGCTGGAGGAAAATGCAAATGAGGAGTTTGGGAAGGCCAGATTCACTTCGCGGGCCTCCTGGCTTTGCATTCAGAGCTCTCCCAGCGCCCCCCCCCCCCCCCGCCCCCGGCGCCCCCTCCTGTTTCTCAGGCTGCTGAATGGGAGCCCACATTGTCCACAGTAGGGGCACCCCCAGGATAACAGCCCATTGTGACCCCGACGGAGCGCATCACAAAGAGGACTGGGGTCAACGATTCGCTTTAGAGAAGGGTCCGCCACTTTGCAAATGAATTTCCCCACTCCCCTCCCCAGCCAGAGTTCCTGGGATGCCAACACATACCCAGATGCGATGGCAACATCAAAGGCTGCCCTCAGAGCCGCAATCTGGATTTACGAGAGGGAGCGTTTGGTGGGAGAGCCACTTTATGTGAGCTCTCTTCTTGGCCACATGAGCCGGCCCACCACTCGCCAGTTTCTTGGGACTAGATCAAAAGTCGCCCGCCTCCGATACCAACTCCCACGGACACCCAAGTCATGTACCCCCCTCCCTCCCAACTCTGAGGATCTAGTTGTCGGAGAGGCACCCGAAGACACGCCAAGGCTCCTGCTCAGGCCTCCAGGTTGGGAGTCAAGACCCCAGGGTGCGGGGAACCTAATCATGCATGCGGATGGCTCTGCGTCCTTGAGTGTAGTCGAAGATTCAGAAAGCTGAGATTGAGGGTGACTTCACTTGGCAAGAATTTTCTGCCCTCCCCAAAGATCTGTCTTCCTTCCTTTCTTCACCCTCAGACGGGGCCCTCAAACCACCCAGGAAGTTGGGAAGAGGAAGCTCCAGGATTCGCGGAGCTCAGCACAATTCCAGGCAGCAAGTGCCTCAAGCCCCCCCACCTCCCCATGCTTACACACCCATTGCACAGAACTTGGGAGAAATGGGGGCTGGGGCTTCCGAGGCCGCTGAGGATAGGACCCACCCAGATAGGGATGGTGCAATTGGTGCTCGTTCCAGCTCTGGTGATAGATTCCAGATCATCCCGGGGTCTGAGAGATAGACTAGGAGGGTGAGATAAAAGGAACATGTGTGCGCAAGCGTGTGTGTGTGTGTGTGTGTGTGTGTGTGTGTAGTGAGCAGAGGTTGGCTTGCTAAGGGGCTAGGGCAAGTGGCAATAGGAACAAGACCCTCCACCGGGTCCCAAATAAAGTCTGAAGCCTTCCTCACGGAGCTAAGAGGTAGCACCATCTCCATCACCTCTATCTGCCCGTCTCCCATTCAAGCCCCAGTGTGTGTGTGTGGGGGGGGGAGCTTTTTCACTCTCCTTGGGATCTGATCCAGTTGGGTCGATAGTAAGGAGTGAAGAGATTATTCCGGTCAAGTCTTGCTGAATGCTGCTTCTTTAGCTCACACACACGCACAAGGCTGGTCTCACGCAGCATTATCTGAGACGCCCCCGAATCCAACCAGACTCATGCTATCCCCAAACACAGCCTCCAGCAGCCAGCCATTGAGAACCACCAAGCTCCCAAGATCGCACCTCTGTCCCCCACAAACCCTTCTCTGACACTGAGCTAAAAGTCCCTGAAAATCAGCGCCTCACCTACAGAGCGCCCCCTCAACTTCACCCCCCTCATGCCGGACTCCAGGACCCCAAACTCAGCCTCCGATTAGAGCCTCCGTCGCCCAAGTTCAGCTGCCCTAGACCTGTTTGTGGACACATCAGAGTAAGTCCCTCTAGAGACCCGGTCAATCTCCCCCCCCCCCCCCCCCCATCTGAACCAGGCTCCCCTGAAGGCACTTCCAGGACTCTTCTGAAGCTTCGGTCCAAGCAGGCCACCGCCGGATTCTTTAGGTGCCCCCCCAAGACGGGCGCCCCGACGTCCTCCAACCCTAGGCCGAGGCCCTCCAATCCCAGACCGGGGCCCCTAATGCATCCAAATCAGCGCCCCCCGGGAACCCCAGTCCGCACTCTGGCCCCAAGCGCCCCGCACCTGAGCAGCTGGGCTGAGTCGGCCGGCCTGCGCTCCTCCAGCAGCACGAACACGGCTCGAGGGCCCTCCGCGCTGGCCTCTACGCCGCCGTCCCGAGCTGGCTCGGCCACATGAGACATGACGCCCGGCCCCGGGCGAGCCCTGCCAGGCCGGTCGGGCTTCAGCCCGGTCCCCCTAACAAAATAAGAGTCCCCCTCCCCCTGCTCGCCACCGCCTCCTCCGCTAAGCCATGGAGCGAGCTCTGCGCGGGCGGGCGACGTCGGGGAGATGGGCTGGGCTGTGAGTCATCCCCCGCCCTGAACGGACCAACACCACCCCCCCCAACCTCAGATCCTAACCCCGGACGACCGCCCTCCTCCCCCTCGTCCTTTTCCCCCTCCTCCCTGAGCTGGGGAAACTCCACAGGAAGTGAGCGCAAGTAAGATGGACAGCTCTCCCGGCTTGCCCTCGGAGCGAAGTGGCCAATCAACTAGGGCTGCTTCAAGAGCCCGCCCTAAACCACGCCCCTGATGCAAAGGAAAACTAGATTGGCCGGCCCTCATTCAGAGAAGGTAGCCGAGGCCGCGCCCACAGAGATAGAAGCAAATCAGCAAGAGGTAATTAATTAAGCCACGCCTTCTCTTCTGAACCTATCCCTAGGTTGGCCAATAAGCCTCTCCTTTGGGTTTTCTGCGCCTGCGCAAGGATGGCCAGTAGGTGCCCAGATTTTCAGGCCACATTTCTAGCTGCAAAACTGCGCCCCCTGTTGGCCAATGTCCTACCTAACATCTGCTTCCTAGACCTGGCTTTAGCCTCCATCTAGCCAAAGCCATAATAACTACTTGGCGGAGCCTAGGCAGCTACATAGCCTACCCTGGAGACATGCACCAGAAACCCCGCACTTTCGGTACCCACAGTCCAGCCACTCAATTGATCTTCAAGTGAGTGCTCCCCTATTCTATGGCACTGGAGCAGCTGTTGTCCTAAGTCGCTGGGTTATACTATAGGTGCTTAACCCTACCAGTCCGGAGGCCCTGAACCTAACTCTTCCCTGGGCTCCTGAGCAGTAAAGAGAAAAAATCAACATGACATAGATTAATAAATCCTTGACAGATGGATGAATGAATGGAAGGGTGGAAATTAGATCTGATCCTTTCGGGGAATGACTAATGGAATCTACAGAACAGGGTTTGGATATGGGCAAGGGACTTCCCCTCTCTGAGCCACCGCTTTCCTGACCTGTTAAATTGGAGTCATAGTAACTGTCTGGCAGAGTTGTTATGAGGATTAGGGAGCATTTATGTGGAGTAGTAGCAGGTTGTTTGGCATACAATAGGCTCTCCAAAAATAATGGATTCATTTGATTGTGCACTGATTCACCAAACATTTGTTCAGCTCCTTTGTGTGCCAGATACATGCAAGCCTGCTTGCACACAGGAAGGGTTCCATCCGTACTGTCAGGTGCACAGTCAGCTCACAGAACCCCTGGATCCACAACCTTCCCTTCCTTCTTTCCAACAGCCCCAGATCCTGCCCATCCGCTGGACCTCTGGGAACTTCACTGAGCTCCTACTTGTCTCGCACCTTTTGGTATTGGCACCTGACATGCCAAGTTGACTTGGTCAACACGAACATCCCTACAGGCTCACACAAAATTGTTTCCACATAATAAAGACAATTCCTCCATAAATAAACTTTAAAAAATATTTTATTGATTTTTTACAGAGAGAAAGGGAGAGTTAGAAACATCCGTGAAAGAGAAATATCAATCAGCTGCCTCCTGCACGCCTCCTACTGGGAATGTGCCCACAACCAAGATACCTGCCCTTGACCGGAATCGAACCTGGGAACTTTCAGTTTGCAGGCTGAGCCAAACCAGTTTTGGCCATAAGTAAACTTTTGAAAAATTAATACATTACCACTAAAAATTCCAAAATGCACAAGGGTTTCCTTTTCTCTGCATCCTCACCAGCACAACCCTTGTACACTGGTGGTGAGAAGGCAGACTGGTGCAGCCACTGTGGAGAACAGTATGGAGTTTCCTCAAAAAACTAAAAATGGAACTCCCATTTGACCCAGTGATCCCACTTTTAGGAATATATCCCAAGAAACTAGAAACACCAATAAGAAAGGATATATGCACCCCTATGTTTATAGCAGCACAATTTACAATAGCTAAGATTTGAAAATAGCCGAACTGCCCATCAACATATGAGTGGATTAGAAAACTGTGCTCCATCTACACAATGGAATACTCTGCTGCTGTAATAAAGAAGGAACTCTTACCATTTGCAACAGCATGGATGGAACTGGAGAACATTTTGCTAAGTGAAATAAACCAGTCAGAGAAAGATAAATATCACATGATCTCACTCATTTATGGAATATAATGAACAACATAAATTGATGAACAAAAACAGATCCAGAGACAGAGAAGGATTGATCAGACTATCCAACCTCAGAGGGAAGGTAGGGGAGGGTGAGGGTAAGGGAGAGAGATCAACCAAAGGAGTCCTCTCCTCTCTTTCTCTCTTTCTTAAATCAATAAATTAAAAAAATTATAATACAAGAAAATTCTTTTATTAAATGCCCATGTCCAAGTCTCTGGAACCTGTGAATGTTACTTTATATGGATTGCAGGTGTGATTAAATGAAGAGTTTTGAGATGGGGATATTATCCTGGATTATCTGAATGGAACCAAATTGTAATCACAAGTTTATTTAAAGAGGAAAGCAGAGGCAAATGTGACAGGCAGAAAAGGAGAAAGCAATGCGACCTTGAAGGCAGAGAGTGTAGTGATGCTCAGGCCAAGAAATGCCAGCAACCACCAGAGGCTGAAAGAAGCAACGAACAGATTCTCCCCTCGATTTTCTAAGGAGAGTATGGCCTTGCTGACACCTTCATTTTGACCCAATGAAACTGATTTGGGATTTCTCGCTTCCAGAACTATGACAGAATAGATTTCTTTTTAAAAAAAATATTTTTAATCGATTTCAGAGAGGAAGGGAGAGGGAGAGATGGAGCGTCAATGATGAGAGAGAATCATTGATACGCTGCCTCTGGCATGCCCCCTTTTGGGGATCGAGCCCGCAACCCGGCATGCGCCCTTGACCAGATTAGAACCCGGAACCCTTCAGTCCACAGGCTGACCCTTCATCCACTGAGCCAAACCGGCTAAGGCAGATTTCTTATATTTTAAGCAAATAAATTTGTGGCAATTAGTTACAGGAACCACCGGAAATTAATATAGATTTTGGTACCTGGTTGTGAGATGCTGCTGTGTCGTAGTCTGATTGGGCCTTGCTGTGTCCTCACATGGCCTTTCCTTTGGGCATAAGCACTCCTGCTGTCTCTTCCTTCTCTTATAAGGACACCAGTTCTATTGCATTAGGGCCCCACCCTTATGACCTCATTTAACCGTAATCACCTCCTCACAGGTGCTATTTCATAGGACAGTCATAGTGGGGGTTAAAGCTTCAATGTATGGATTGGGGGGGGACACATAATTCAGTTTATAATATGTTGTAACAAATATTGTACCTAAAAACATTGAAATGGCTTCAGAATTGGATAGTGGGTAGAAGCTGGAAGAATTTTGAGCCACATGACAGAAAAAGCCTAGACTAGCTCCAGCCAGTTTTGCTTAGTGGATAGAACATTGACTCTCAGACTGAAGGCTCTTGGGTTCGAGTCCAGTCAAGGTGCGTGTGGCAGGCACCCAATGGATGTGTCTCTCTCCCTCCCTTCCACTCTCTCTAAAAATCAATGGAAAAATATACTCCAGTGAGGATTAACAACAAAAACAAAAACAAAACGTTAGAGAGTGGAATTTTTGAGAACTCCAGAGAGGCCGTGGACCATGCCCCAGATAGAGTTAGTTGTCAGTGCTGACACCAGGCTAGGCCTTGAGATATAGTCTCATGGCCCCTTCCCAGCACCTCACAAAATAACCTTACAAGATAGAACACTGCCAGCTTTCTGAAGAACAGGATGACCTTGTGAATAACATGGTTGTCAATGGCATGATCCTGAGGTTGCTTGGGAAAACTTTTGTCTTGGGTTGCTTGCTCTGCAAAAACCGGATGTGGTTAATGTGCTTAAAAGTGGCCCCCCTCCCCCAGCTGAAACTGGTTTGGATAGAGCGTCCGTCTGAGGACTGAAGGGTACTGGGTTCGGTTCCAGTCAAGGGCATGTACATTGGTTGCAGGCACATCCCCAGTGAGGGGTGTGCAGGAGGCAGCTGGTTGATGTTTATCTCTCATCGTTGTTTCTAGCTCTCTATCTCTCTCCCTTCCTCTCTATGAAAAATCAACTATATATATACATATTCCCCCACAAAGGGTCACTGCTGCTCTCTGGATTCCCTGTGTGGAGAAAGGCAGAGCAGTCACCAGCCGACCGGCTAATAAAGGCTCCCTAAATTTTAATTTGGTCTGGACTCCAGTGGTCATTCACTCGAGTTCACTCCACAACAAAAACAACAAAAAAGAAAAAGCCTAGCCCTAGCCTATTTTATTCACTGGATAGGTAGACCTGCGGACCAAAGGGTCCTGGGTTCCAATAGGGTCCAGGGCACGTACTTTGGCAGCAGGCTCCTTCTTGGCCAGGTGTGCAAAGGAGGCAATCAATCGATGTGTTTCTCTTACATCGATGTTTCTCTCTGTCTTTCCCTTTCTCTTCCACTCTCTCTAAAAGAATCAATGGGAGCTTTCCCCCCACCTCCTGATAGTGCTCACAAACATGGTGAATGTTCCTAAAATCCGCTAAACCTTTGGTGAGAAGTGTGTCAAGCATCAACCCCACAAGTAACACAGTACAAGAAGGCCAATGATTCTTTGTGTGCACAGGGAAAGCGGCATTTCGATATGAAGCAGAGTGGCTACAGTGGGCAGACTAAGCCAATTTAAAAAAAAAAAAAAGGCTAAAATTACAAAGAAGATTGTACCAAGGCTTGACTGCATTGAGCCTAACTGCAGATCTAAGAGAATGCTGGCTATTAAGAGATGCAAGCATTTTGAACTGGGAAGAGACAAGAGGAGAAAGGGTCAAGTGATCCAGTTCTAAGCTTCATATTTTGTTTTATAATATGACAATAAAATCTTGATATGTTCATTTAAAAAAATCAATGGGAAGAAAAGTATCCTCTGTTGTGGAGCGAATGACCACTGAGGTCCAGACCAAATTAAAATTTAAGAAACCTTTATTAGCCTGCCAGTGACTGTTCTGCCTTTCTCCACGCAGAGAGACCCTTTGTGCAGGACCACTTTTAAGCACATTTACCACATCCTGATTTTGCAGAACAAGCAACCCAAGACAAAATAGTTTTTCCTAAGCAACATCAGAGCCATGCCATTGACAACCATGTTATTC